AGTTTCCAGACAGGGAAATTGTGACAAGTACATTCTTTAAGATGAGACCAAGACCTTATACATACAGACAAAAACAGAAATCAGCACACATCATAAATATGTTACCAGACCTCATAGCTTCCTTCCCTCAAAACTGTATTGTCCAGTGTCATTATGGATCTTTTCATACCAGTTGATAAAAGGTAAGTCACCAGTTTGCCTCTTCTATTAATGAAGGTGATTGAGATCAATTTCAGAAAATCCAACATCTCCAAAGCAAACAGGAGTAACCAAATCTTTCCTCTTCCAAGCCAAGAAATTATCTTCTCCAAGATATTTAGATATACCTGACTCCAAAGGCAGTCCCAGAATAATTTTTCCAAGGATAATTTGTTTTTCTATCAAGTTATGGTCCTAACTGTGGACTCACTCTTCTGTTAATTCAAAATGTAATTTTTAGAATCACAGGCTACCTTTACTAAAAGCCAGTTGCAGAAGGCTTTCTTCTGATATAAGGACACCACAGGGTCATGGCAGTAAAAGCAAAGGGATGAGAAGGAGTGGCTAAGAACAGAAAAGCAGCAGCAGTGAGAAAGCTGGGAAGATGGTAGAAGGAATTTGGAGAAACCTCAGGAGATGCTGGGAATTTTAGGGTATTTTGTCTCTATGTGAGGCATTCTTTTCTGTGGCTAATTTCTCCATCGCTCATCAGACAAAAAGCAGATCCAGGGAAAGAAACAAGCAGAAGAATATTTTTCACAGGATCTCCCATTATTCCTGCATCCTGCACTTCCCTCCTCTCCACAACCCTTGCTGCCAAAACCTGTCTGACCATTAAATGTTGTTTACAGGCAATCAGTAAGTGATAAATTCATAATGGCATTACTGAACCACACAGCTTTCAGAACATTACTACGGCAGCACAGTTTTGACACCAATCCTTAAATAACAGCAAAAAGCTGCTTCTCCAAATCACTTGTTGGTAACACACATCTGTTTTGGCCAGCTGCTCCAATGAAATACAGAGCAGCACCGAGGAACGTGGCTGCCAGGGAGATTGCACTGGATGCAGTACACACAGAAAACATCTCAGAAGGAGCTGTGAAGGCCTCCTCTCTATCTTGGTGTTGCATTGCACCAGGAGAGTGCATGGGGCTTAATGAACTGACCCCAAGCTCACTGAAGTGAGTGACTCTCTTCCCACTCCAGTGGGCTTTCAGTCATGCTGCTTGAAGGAGGGGTGAGCAAAAAATTTACTTTAGAAGCAGTTTTAAGAACACTCCGTACTGTGTGGTCTTTCATCACAAAAATAATGAAAATAAAATTTACTGATTCACAAGGTTTATTTTATCTAATTCATATAATAGAGACACAGCCGGTTTCTGATGTTCAAAGCTATATGAAGTCTGCAGAGAAAAGAGGAGCACATCATCATAAAATAAAGTGCTTAACAATTGACCAGAGTAAATAAGGGAAATACTAGTGGTTTTTTACAAACATAAGCGTGAGAAAAGCAACAAAATATCATCCATCAAGATGCAAAAAAAAGAACATTATGACACCTTTAAAGTGCATAAATAAAAACTAAAATACAAAGACTAGAGACAATTTTGCATTCTGGTTTAATCAGTCAAAGACAGCCATTCACGCCCCCGCCTTCTCTATATCACTGTCTACTTCATTATTGCTATCTATGGAAACACAGTGAAAGAGAATCAGTCTCACCTGTGAAATGCAGGAAAAGGAGAAAAGGTCATGGAGGTAAATCCTATAAACACTTAAAAAACTGAAATTAATCTTTTAGAAAAATTTGATTGAAATTGACTTGAGTCTGAGTCCTGTGACCTGGATGGAAAAGGTGGTTGAAGGAGTGTAAACAGCAGGTAATCATGGGCACTAGTTTGCTGCAGGGGTGTTTTTAGTATGTTCTTATTTAATATCTCAATTAATGATCTGGAAAAGGAGGCAAATAGCACATTAATGAAATTCACAAATGACAATAAACCAGGAGGCTTGCAAATGTCAGAGAGGATAGCAATAGTATAAATGGAAACTAACAAGGTTAGAAATGTAGACAGGCAATAAAATGAGATTCAATGTGGAAAAATGTAGACTAATATACTGAGGAAAAATAATCAGAAACATGAAGAGTCCATGAGAAAGCAAAACCTGGAAAGCATCTGCACGGCAAGATATCTATGTGTGACAGTGAACAACAAATTTAATACAAGTTCTCAAGGAGATATATCATTTTAAAAGACCGATGCAATTGAATATTGAAATATGCAGTAGAATAATGTCAGAAGAGGGAAATTATTGTCTGTGCATCTGGGAAGATTTCTGCAGAACCCTGCATCCAGTTCTAGACACCTCCATAACAGAAGGATGCTGGTATGCTGAAAAGGACTTCAAAGAAGATCAACAAAATGGATTAGACAAGGAAAGGACTTGATTTATTAATCTAGGTAACAAGTTGTACTGGTATTAGTTGGGATAGAGTTAATTTTCATACCAGTACCTGGAACAGTCCTGTGTTTTGGATTTAGGACAATCATGTTGGTAACACACTGGTGGTTCAGTTGTTGCTAAACGGTGGTCAAGGACTCTTCCTTCTCATGCTGTCCTGACAGCAAGTAAGTAGGGAGGAGTGCACAAGAAGTAGGGAAGGCTTGCAGCCAGGACAGCTGACCCCAGATGGCCAAAGGGATATTCCAAACCATATAGTGTCATGCTCAGCACATAAACTAGGGGGAAATATAGCTGGGGACCACTGCTCGGGAACTGGCTGAGCATCACTGGTCAGTGTGCAGTGAGCAACTGCATTGTGTATCACCTGTATATTCTAATCCTATTATTAATACTGTTTCCCCATCCTTTTCTGTCCTATTAAACTGTCTTTATTTAAACCCAAGACTTTGACTTTTTTTGCAATTTCTCTCCCCCATCCTGCTGGGAGAGGGGGAGTGAGTGAACAGCTGTCTGGTGTTTAGCTGCCTGTCAGGTTAAACCATGACATAGGGGCAAAACAACCACTGTCTAGAAATACATGACTGATGAACAGAGAGAATGGAATTTTTTGGATGCTAACATGCAGTGGTACAACTAAATATAATGGGATGAAACTAAAGAAGAACAAAATTTGGACAAAGTATCAGAGAATTTCTCAGAAACCACATGATTCAGTCTAGCAGGTAATTTTCAAATGGACAATTAATGATGAAGTCCCACCAAACAAAGCATTTGAAACTTGAACAGTTAAAAGCACTCAATGGCAAACCGTAGTGAACAACTGTGCGCTCAGAGGAAGCTGAACTACCTGGCCTAAGAGTTTATTTCCCACATACAGCAGTATTTTTCAAGGAAATGCATATCACATATACTTCAGTCCTACTCCAAAGTCTAATTGTAGAGTAAAAGCAAAGTGACTGCATACATTGACTATTTAAAGTACTCAGAGACAAGCAGATGTGCGATCTGTTTTTACACAAAACACACTTCTTTTTCAGCAGATGTGTTTTTTTAGTGATGTGACCCTCAGTGTATTTTGTAGATTCAAAGGAAAATGTGATTAACTTACTTATTTGCTTATTCATGTCTACTGCCTTTCTCTTTTCACATTTTCTGTACACTAATATCTTTATTTATTCTCATGTAATATACTAGAACTTCCCTAGCTGCAGTACAAATCTATTCACAGTGAAAAAGGAAGCTTTTAATGCTGAAAGGCATTGTAATGCTCTGAGACCCTGGTGTTAAAAGTAACAGGGGAAACAAAGACTGAAAGTGAGATGTAAGCTAAGAAATACATGGATATAATTTTCCTTGAAGAGCAAAAATGTGAGTTTATCAATTAAGTGATTTGTGTGTATTTACATGTACCTACTTTACCAAGTTCCCCACTTTTATGAATGCCTACTTTGGATTTTACAAAAACTCTTCTCACATTCTTCCAAGGAGAACAAAGAGGTGAAAGGTTTTTCAAAGTTTTCCTGTCCTTCTCACTTCCCCTAGGGGTGGTTGGAGAGCTAAGGAAGGAGCAAAGCTTACTGAGAAGAAAGCTCCTGTTCTTACTGTAATAAAAGGTGGCAATCTTACCATGTATAGATGCTCAAATGATGTATAGACGAAGGACGTTTGCAGTGAAGATTGCCATAGGCAAAACAGCAGATCTAATCAAAAGCTCTGCACGCATGGATGTAGCCAACCAGTGGGAAAAGAAAGCATTCGCAGCACAGAATCTGGAACTGCTCTTCTGTCTCTCCATGGCTTCCCCACCAGAGCACAGGTGAAACCAGGAGCCTTGATACTCCGGGCAGAGAGGCTCTGAGCCAATGCACAAACTCTTTATGACTCTGTCACAGGACGCTATTAACGTAATAGCAGGCTTACTTTTTTCCATTTTTTTTTTTTTTTTTGCATGGAAGCACATGCTGCTATCATCTATCTCCTATCAATAGTCAGTAGAATGAGGTGATGCTTGTGTGGCAAGTGCTGTAAAAATATTTCTATTGTACAAAATAAATTACAGATCAAACACATACATAAAAAAATATTATTAACATTTAGAGCACTTGCATTTTCAAAACTGTCAAACTGATAAATGTATACATGTCCTCAAAATCTAAAAATTACTGAAAGTCAGGACACAAACCACAAGAAGTAAAGCCCCTTCAGCTAAAGCTACCGCAGAGTTCCTTCCTCCTTCACCCTTCTGAGAGTAACTGTGCTAACCTAGGTGTCCCAGAATAGAGGTATTACACAATCCGTGATCTCCACGATCTGAGAACAATGACTGAGAACAATGAAGCACAGAGAAATGTGTTAAGGTACTGTGGCAGACACACCTCGGCACTTTTTCTGTTAATTTTTGTTAATCTGCCTGGGGGAGGAGAGTGTTTTTATCTAGCAACACAGGTATTTTAAACTGTACCCTCTTTTGGAACTGTCAAAAAACGGACAGCCTGTAAGTCAACACGTGGGGATTTTTTTTCGGTAGTTGGTTGGGGTTTTTTCCTCTGTGCCTCTGTCTCACCTTGCTGGCCCTGCCTATTTAGACTGCAAATTCCTTGGGTGGCAGGACACAGTACCACAGTTTACACAGTGCCAAGCACAGTGGGATCCAGTCTTTACTGGGCTGTGTGAACTGCCATGAAACAACAAGCAAACAAAAAAAACTTTAATAATAATAATAATAACTTACCACTCATCAGTTTTGTAGAACCTTGCAGAAACCAAGAGACTCTAAGGGGACAAGCTGGCAGGAAGAAACCTGCACAGTGCTCCTCTACATGACAGGTGATAGCATTTGATTGCAGACACCTCTCCTCCTCCCAGTGTCCTCATTTTTATGGTGTAGCATGAAATACATTCCTGGGCACAGAAATCACCAATAACCCACCAGATTTATCTCAGCTCAACATGGCAGTAACCCCAACTACTCCACCCCCTGTGCCCCCCAGCCCCTCCAGGTGTCAGTGTAAGGAGCTGTGCTGTCTGGACAGTGCAAAACAGACAACAGGATGTTTAATGGTCTACGCTGCCGTCCGAGCCAGACACATGAGCTGAAACTCGGTCTCTCCACATGCAACTTGGATATCTGGCAAGTCTCAGTGAGACACATTTTCCTCTTGGCCTCCTTTCCTTATTTCTAGGCCCAGTGTTCATATTCAAAGGAGCAGAAGTAGGCGGGCCTCCCCCCCACACACGGGAGGTGGGGTGGAAGCAGAGGGGGACAGTCCAAACAGTTTTAGTATACAGAGGAACAAGAAAACTGGAGGGGAAAGAAGATACATTCCCAGAAAACATAAAACCTAAGGAAATTCACTTGTCTGCAGCATAACAACAGATTTGGAAGGGGTGACAGGGACTGACTAGCACTCAGTAGCACATCATCCGAGGCAGGGAAGAGACATCAGGCAGGGGGTTGGGAAGCAGCAACCAGCTGCCCCATATGGTCAGCTCTTGGTAGGCAATTTGATTTTCATTTTCTCTGCTGATTGTGCTCATCCCTGTGGTATCTGGATGGAAAAACAATGGTGGAGATAATAGAACAGGATTGCCCAGGGCATTTTTAAGGGCTTGAGAGCCATTCATTCATAGATCAAATCTAGGCCAGAATGGATGCAGGTAATCTGCTGAATGTTGGCTTATATGAAATGTTCCAGTGCTATTTCACAAGTATTCACATAAAAATTGAATAATTCACAACTTTCTTAGCATTCTCAGCAGATAGCTCAGCCTCGACAGCCTCTCAGGTCTCCACAGCCTCTTAGTACTAATGACTTAGCTCTACAAATATATTTAAGAACACAAGTCTGTGCAGGTTCCGAGTGTAATTGTGGTCTATTCCGAAAAATGGTTTGAGGCAGTGACGAGTAAAGCAAGGTGTGGGAAAGATCCCATTATTGTACCAGTTCTGACAATAAAAGAAGCCCTTCATTCTCCTAGGCTGTTAATCTGGTACCTTCCATGAGCACAAACCTAGAGGAGGTATATACTTAATTTAGGTGGTTGACCTTCCATTGTCTTCCATGTGTTCACAGGTTAGCGAGTGACAATGGCACTTGTCATATCCCATTTTCTATTGCATTTTGCCCTGCAGCAAACAGAGAATTTATTATCATTGTCATCATCATTTTAAAATAAATTAATTACATGTCATAACAGAAAAAAACATCATTATTAAAAAAATACAATTAAAAAATGGTCATCAAGTGGTCATGTTATGTAACACTCCCTTTCCACTAATCTTCTTCAAAGATCACAGAAATATATATATTATATATTTATATATATATATATAAATTGGAGGCAAATTATGATGAATATTTGCCAGAATATCCAAAAATGTGCCCCAAAATATTTTTAGTTTAAACAAACCCTGAGGAAAAACTATAAAGACAGAAAAAGTGTTTTCTATTTCTTATTCAGAACAGAAATCATCACGGCAACTGCAATTCAGCTGTTGATAAGGATGTTCAAACACCCCATGGTGAGACAGCATGGCCTATCTTTACCTGGGAGGCAGGAAATCTCTTTGGCCTTACATCTGGGAGGTCCTTCCTCCCACTCTGTGTCCCCATTTGAAAAGCTGCCTGTTAATGAGTTCCTGCATAAATTCATGCTCTATATGGGACTTGGACACACCATTGCAATGCCATTAAGAGCAACGGCTCTGAATTATGTGGAAATCTTTAGCAGCAGGTAGGGAGAGCCATGCCAGAATGCAAAACCAGAAGAAATGGCAACTCAATGGGAAACTTAAACTGATCAGAAGGTTTCCCATTTGGACAAAAACATGACCGCCATGGTGCAGCAATGCCCTGTTTCTATGATGACAGCCAGCATATAATTATGCCAGGGATGCTCAGCGTTCCACCAGCAGCTTCTCCCAGCTCTTCAATTGCAATCCCCATTTTTGCATGTGCATTTGTACACGAACGCATGAATGGAAGAGAGTCCGGATTTTATTGCAATGTGCAGGGTGGGTGATTCAAGCCTTTGTGTAGGAAGTTGACTCACCTCCTTCTGAAAGAAAAAAATGTTCCGACACAATTGTAATTCCCTCTTTTTCACGTAAAGTCAGGCAACACGTACAGAACCTTCCAGCTCAGTATTTCCTAAACAGTGGAAACGTGCCTAGAAAGTTTAGCTTTGAAACCTGTGACTGCAACAAAACAGGTCTGCACCTTCATGTCGGGTATCTCGAATCCCTGTGGCTCGGCAGCAGGCAGGAAAGGGGGGGAGGTGAAGTGGAAGGGAGAAAAAAACAAGTTGGCTTGGGGGGAGAGGGGCGAGTGTTTTGGGCTTATTTAATAATGCACTAGTAAACAGCTCAGGCACAGAAATGCAGTGCAGTGAGAAAGGGAGCTATCCTTTGGAGCCTATTGCTTTAAATTTGCGCGCTGTAGCTTGAAGCATTGCACAAACTCTCGGTCTGCTGACTGCCTCCCTGGAACACAAACACACGGGTGATTGGGAAAGCTGTTTTCCAGCCTGCCCTCCCTCGTTTCTGCCGGGCTGCTTTTGGTGTTTATTTATTTTTAAACAAGTCGTGTACATGGAAAAAAGGAAAGAAAAAAAAAAGGAAAAAAAAAAGAAGAAAGAAAAAAGCGAACAAAACCCACACATCTTTAATCAACACCTATTTCCTTCCAGGACCCTATGATCCTCTATTGATTCCCATTAAAATGCTTTTCTTTTTCTTTGCCCCCTCTGCTGATCGAATTTCAGATCAGCCAGGATGTGCAACTAACCTTCCGGCACAACTGAACCCAACTGACTCACCCAGATCAAAGGCTCGGCGCATTCATTAGAGCCCAGCACAGCCCAGGCAGGATCCGTAATGCAACATCTCCCTTTGCATTGCAATTAACGTGGGGGAGAGGAGTTCGTATTATTTTTATTTTTTGCAAATGTTCTGGCTTTTGATTTTTAAGCGGGAGGCTGGGGGGGGAAGAAGTGGTGGGAGGGAACGAGAACAAAAGAGAGATCTTTTTACCCGAGGATGACGTCAGTTCGATGTTACTGACAACTATTGATGCACGTGGAG